AAATTAAAATGAGCTACTGTACCACTGCAAGCCTGTTGAAATGGTCAGCATCTAGAACACTGACAACACCAAATGCTAGATGTGAAGCAACAGTACATCTCATTCATTGCTTATGGAAATGCAGTGATACAATCACTTTGGAAGACAATTTAGCAGCTTCTCAAGAAAATAAATATACTTTTACCTTAAAATTTGTTATTTGAGCTCCTTAATATTTACTCAAATAAGTTGAAAGTGTATGTCTACACCAAAGCCTGAACACTGATGTTTTCAGAAGCTTGTTTTGTAACTGTCAAAACTTCGAAGCAATTAAGACATCCTTCAGTAGGTGAATGAATAAACTGTGGTAGATCCCAACGATGCGACATTATTCAGCACTAAAAAGGAAAAAGATAGCAAGCCATGAAGAAGCATGGAGGAAACTTAGATGATTATTACTAAGTGAAATAAGCCAATTTTAAAAGACTACCTACTCTATAATTCCAACTATATGACAAATATAGTTTTGCTTTGAGAAAAACAAAAGACACTGAAAAGATCAGTGGTTGATAAAATAACTGTGGGAAAATGTCATTATAAACATTTTCAAACACATAGAATGTGCAACCCCAAGAGTGAACCTTAATATAAAGTATAAATATGGGGTGATGATGTGTCAATGTAGGTCCATTGATTGTAACAAGTGCACCACTCTGGTGGGAGATGTTGCTAATTGGGGAGGCTATGCATGTGTGACAGCGGGGGATACATGGGAAATCTCTGTATCTCCCTCTCAATTTTGCTATGAAATTAAAAGTGGTCTAAATAAAGTCTACACAAATGGAATTCAAAAATTATTCTTTGAAGTTTATAATTGCTGGGCATCATAGCAGATTCTTTTCCTGATGTTAAAAAATTACAATGTATATGATTAATAGTTTGTAATAATGAATACATGTACATGGGAAAGTGGAAAGACAAGAAGAAAAAGAAAAATATTAATAAACAAGATTTACCTTCTAGTAGACATATACACGTGTGTGTCTAGAAATATTTATCATTACTCCATCACAGCCACACATTTATCACCTCAAAAGACTGGCTATTATACTGAATTACACTAATCTAAATAATAAGGAAGAAACAAGAAGAATCAAGGATGTTGGGGAAAAGTGAATATACAGAATAAAATCTATAAAAAATCTAATTATATAATTTCAAATATTTCAGAAAAGAAGTTAAATAACTTCAGCAAGTTATTATAATCCCTGGGAAACAAATGGCACACAGATTATAAAAAATGAGTGAAATTTTGCTGTTGTCTAATTGGCATATTTGAATCATTTTCATGCCTTCCATAATATGTAAAATGAAAATATCATGGTTGATTCAAAAAAACATAGATGAATGAGATCTTATTGGATGTTCAGTCCTAATCTCCTTTTCATTCATTCCCCCTTACAAAGGTATCATGACAGTAGTATCCAATGGTTATTGTGAGTGAAATATTACACAAATACCTGCTCCTCAATTTTAGCTGTATACATGGGCCCAAACTTGAATCACAAGCAATTAATCAGAAAATCTGAGAAAGTAAAGAGAATATTAACTCACATGATGATACCTCCTGTCCAATGCGGGTATAAAGAACATGAAATTTTCCGTATTAAATTTGTTTTGGGATGTGTTTTATTTGGATTATTTTTGCATATCCTTCCATTCAAGTTAAAATTCTTTGCAAGTAAGTTATTCTACATAGTAGACTTAAACTTTTTATAAATTATGCATTTTGAAATAAAACGTAGAACACATCAATGTTTTAAAAACCTTACAGCCATATTTGTATTTTAAGGTAACCGCAGTATACCCTTTTACTCTTCTTCCCTTTTCTAAAGTAATCATTCTCAAAGCTGTTTTCATGATTAATTAATTGCATGAAATCCTTACATTCTGGCAGGGTGTGCTTATTAATTAATCAATAATATCACCTCTCATGATATACCAGATGACATCTGACAGGGGCAGAGTGCATGGACATTTACTGTCTTTAATGTGTGGAAACCGTGTCTCTCTCTCTGTGTTAATATTAATAAAACATAACATAGTATTAGTGTTTTTTAAGTAGCTAAATATTTTAGTTACAAAAGCAGTACCAACATATATAATTTATATTTAATTTAATAATATCACCTTTTATGACAGACTGGATACCATTTGACAGGGACAGAGTGCATTTAGACATTTACAGTTTTAATGTGAAATATGTTAATACAACATAACATATATTAGCATTTCTGTAAGTAACCAAATATTTTAGTTTCAAAAGCGGTATCTATATGTAATTTTATATTGAATTTAATAAAATTATATATAATTTTATTTAAACACTCAAAAATCAAACAAATGTAAAAAATAGAAATCAAAGACCTTAATCAATACTGATCCTATTTGCCAACTCATACATAAGCATTAATACTTTTTTTCTTTCCTTCCCAATAATTTTCCATGTGGTCTATAGTTTGTAACACACACACACACAGATATTTCTATGTACATACATATATATGTATATAAATTTTAGCAAATTTATATCACATAGAAATGCAGCTGCAGTGTTCCATTTCAGCACATAAATCTCTTCCTCATTCTTTTTAAAAATGAGTAGTATTTCATAGTGTTAGATATGGTGGTACATACATACAGCAGCATAGTATGCAGCATGAAAAAATAAGAGACAACTCTAAATGTTCTTTTGTAGATTATAGCTAATACTCAGTGTTAATTCAAAAGCCTCAATTGCATACAGTTAATATATTACCATTTGTGTAAAAATAACTATATGCATTTTCATTCATATGTGATATCTGGGTAGAATATCTCTGGAAAAAATTAATGTAAGAAAAATTAAAATTAAAAAGATCACTGAAAAAAATAAGAATTGTAAAGGCTACTAACTATTTTCTCTTGTTAATATTTAATTTCCTTTCAGTAATATTTATTTCATTCTTTTTAATTTAAAGATATTTGTTTGCATATTAATTTTTAGTAAGGAAAACAATTAAAATAAGAACTCACTAGTTCTCTCTTCTTTCTGCATTATGCTTTATTTCATCACATATTTATACCAATTGTTAATATAAGAAAATGAATCATTTTCTTGGTAAGAATCATCAATAGCCACTTTTCCACAAATAGTATAATCCTGTATGTCATCACAAACACTGCTATCATGCAGAATTTTTTAAAAGAATCAATTGAAGAATAACAAAAACTAACACAGAGACAAGCAAACAAAACAACCTTAAGATCCAATGGTGGTGGGCTCTTCATCCATCTTTACTAACTCTATAGATCTTACCTACTTAGGGCTGTTATCAGAGAATGTTGCTAAATGTGTCTTAATCACTGTCTTTTACAGACATCTGATTTTCAGAGCTAAAAAGTGTGTTCACTTCTAGATTTTCTTCTATTCTTATCAGCACCCATTCTTCAAATTATGATGCATGTGTATGTGAGGTACCTACCTACTCAGATAAGAGCAACAATATGTAACTGTGATCTGATCAAAAGTGTTTTATATCCTTAGTATTTTTTTCTATATAAATCTTAGCATTTGTAGAGTCTGTTCAATCTTTGGATCATTGTAGATTTGTTGTTTGCTTGCTTTTGTGTGTGTATAATCCTAGTTTACATGCTTCTTAAGAGCAACTTTTAATGTCCTATATCCACCATTATGATAAGAAATATAACAGTTTCCCTGCTCTGAATGTTCTGAATGTGCCACCCTTCCTGTCCCTGGCAACTACTGACTTTATTATTGTCATTATGGATTTGTCATTTCCAGAATGTCATATAGTTGGAATTTTAAAGTATTTAGTCATTTCAGACTGCCTTAATTGCCTTAGTAACTACATTTAAAGTTCTTCTATGTATTTTCATGGTAGATAGCTCATTTATTTTTTATTATGAGTAATTTTCAATTTTACTGATGGTCCACAGCTTATTTATCCATTGCCTACTATCCATTCATTTATTGGAAGACAAGTTGGTTACAATTTTTGGCAGTTTATAAATAGTGTTACTGTACACATTTATAGGAAGACTGTTGAATGAATACATATTAAAGTCCCCAACCCTTCCTTAGTTGTTTTCTTTTTTTTTCTGTACCTATTTAAATCTTTATTAGGAGTACCTCATTCCCAAGTCTTCTATCTCACTTTAGTCCTTGTCATCGCTAAATAACTTCCTTGTTATCCTTTTTTTGGTTGTTGTTCAGTTATGAGACATGAAACTTTGTATTGTTTTCTATTTTTCATCAATTACGAAAAATTACATTCACTGTCATATATGTTTGAAATTTGATAAAGATGACATTGGAGTATGAAGTTATAAATGAAGAGGTATGCATGTATGTTACAAAGATTACTTTATTTAAGCTATTTTCTTGAAAAACTTGAATATGTTAGAAGTCCATAATCATTTTACAGTTAAGATCTTTCATACAAATTGATAGAAATATTTAAAAGAAAACAACACACACAAATTTCGTCTTCTAAATTTTGAAATACAAGCAACATTTCCAAAGTATTTAAATGTTTTAAAATTTTAAAATGTTTCTTTTTTATTATTTTAAAAATGTTTTAAAATAGTTTGAAATTTTAACATTTGGCTAGTGAGGGGATGCTTGATGCTATGCATTTTATTAACAAAATATTTTCATTTTTTTCCAAATAGAAAGTGTACAATAGGATTTAAAATGTGTATCAGTTTTGCAAAATAGTTGATACAATTTTGATGAGAAAAAGATATCCAGAAAGAATGGAATTTCTTCCTTTTTTTCTGAGTAATAATATATGGTGAGATAAATTTAAACAGAAAAGCATTTTTCAGTGGTGTTCATAAATTAACCAAGTTGGATTTATTTGGAGGAAGGTAGAATTTGGTGATTTTAAACTGTGTTTGTTCCATAATGCATCCCTTTTTACATTAAACAGGTGAGATGTTTTTGTTTATGTTTCTAGGAAAGATGGATCAAAAGAACCAATAGTGGAGATGAGAACAGAGGATGAAAGAATTACTAATCACGAAGATGGGAGCCCAGTAAATGAGCCAAATGAAACCACACCACTAACAGAACCTGAGTATGTAGCTGGGAGTGCTTCCTTCCATTCACATGGATATTGGCAAAATGATAACACATTATTATTGTTGTATTACATATTTAAATATTAACTATTTGTAAAAGAATAGTGCTTTTACTTTTTCGATGAAAGTACATATGAATATCTAAAATCAATTTTCTATTGAGACTTTTTTCATGAAAACTTTGTATGAATGTCAGAGAAAGTCTGATAAACCATATATCTATAATTTAATGCAAAAGTATAAAAAGATAAGTATCTTACAGAGTTTAGATTTTCAACAATAGTCTGTCTTTTTAAGATAGTGTTGTTTTCCCTTTCAAAATAAAATAATTATATTTACTGAAATAAAGACATGTCAGGAAATTTGTCATTGCTTCAAATATAAATGTCAGTGAAATATACGCAAGTCTATTTTAAAAATAAATAATGTTTGTGCAGAGGAGAAAATAATATTAAAGCGTTTATCATTGTAATGTCTATGCAGTAAATGATGCTTGGTTTCCATTCTTGACATTACTTATTTTGTATCTCTAATAGCTCTATTAAAACTATAGTAGATAACAAAACCTGAAAAGATGAATATATGCCTAGATTCATGCATAGGTCAATTAGAATAATTCAAAGCAAAGACATTATTACAAAGTGTTAATAGTACTATTATATTGGAGGTATGTGATACTAATGAAGCCATGGTGATCAAACACTTCTTTACTGTGCACCAAAATAACTTTATAATTTTATTATTTTTCAGAATAAATATTTATTTTTATAACACCTAATGTTTCCTTGCAGAGTAAATTGATTTAGGTTTCTCATCCTAAATCACAGATAAAAGGTTTTCATAGATGAAGAAAATGATTTTATTTTCATAAATTCCCTCTATCTGCCCACAAGGGGCTGCAATAATTAATATTTACACAAACACAAAGTACTACTCTACAAAAAAAAAAAATTTAATATAAATCCTCGGGCCAATTTTAGTGATTGCGTTTAGAGATTATTACAATCTAAATTCAAATTAACTGTATTAGATGTGGGTTCTGTATTCTCTACTTTAGAAATAAGATGTGTACATGAAAACTAGTTAAGAATATGCTCTTGGACTGGGGTATATTTTGGGAAAAAAGGGTAATTTAATAACTACTCTGTGTCTCCATTATAGAAAATAAATCACCAATATAAAATAATATGATTAACAGTAATCTTAAAAATATTTTACCTAAACATAAGTGGTGAGAAACTCTATACACAGAAATAAGTTATCAGTTTGGTGAAAGCACTTAAGTCATCAAAGGGGAATATCACACACTGGGGCCTATCATGGGGAGGGGGGAGGGGGGAGGGATTGCATTGGGAGTTATACCTGATGTAAATGACGAGTTGATGGGTGCAGCACAGCAACATGGCACAAGTATACATATGTAACAAACCTGCACGTTATGCACATGTACCCTAGAACTTAAAGTATAATAATAATAATAATAATAAAATAAATAAATAAAATAAAAATAAAAATAATTAAAAAAAACTTAATATATATTTCATGAGTAAGAACTGTATTAAGTATTATGCTAACTTAATATCAGAACTCTAATCAGAACTGTTTTCTCTACATTTTGATGCTTGAGGTGACATATTGCTTTTGTGACTTTGTATTGTCAATATTTTCAGTACTTGTGAATGCTAAAAAGGAATAACTGAGACTGCACTATTTATAACATATAAAATAGCCGCCTGCTCTCATTGGTACAATGTTTTTTTTCATTACCAGCAATGGATATTACTAGTTTTTGCCTATTTCTTACTTTGATTAGTTCTGATAGCTTTGATCTGCAGAATCTGTTTTAACCCTTCTCATTCAAAAATATAAAATAAATTACAAATAAATCCCAGAGAAACTAGCGTTGTAACTTTCACTCCATTATAAAATGGTAAGGCTAAAGTCACAGAGATGGACTGGAATACTTGGAATACTATTTCTTTCCTTCTTTCTTTCTTTCTTTTTTTCTTTTTGAGACGACTTTCACTCTTGTTGCCCAGGCTGGAATGCAATGGCGCTATCTCGGCTCACCTCAACCTCCGCCTCCTGGATTTAAGCTATTCTCCTGCCTCAGCCTCCCGAGTAGCTGGGATTACAGGCGCACACTGCCACACCAAGCTAATTTTGTATTTTTAGTAAAGACGGGATTTCTGCATGTTGGTCAGGCTGGTCTCGAACTCCTGATGTCATGTGATCTGCCCGCCTTGGCCTCCCAAAGTGCTGGAATTACAGGCATGAGCCACAGCGCTCGGCCTGGAATACTATTTTTAACTTAATTTTCTTGATGTGGAAAAAGTATGTTGTTAAGGGAGAAAAACTCATCTCCAAATGTCATGTACACAATGGTAAACAACTGAATTTGCAAGTTTTAGGAAAATCTAGAAAGCACAATTCATTGGCATCGAAGTAAGGTTTGTGAAACTGTCTTGATATGAAGAAATAAAGTTGTTATTGCTTCACAAGTTACAATTGCAAACAACTCAAAATCTGTGTTGCAAAGTGATATAAAAGTGACAAGAAAAACAATAGTGAAAAGAGGCAAAAGAAAACATATACAGTAGATATTAAAAAGTGAGCAAGTCCTAAAATATGTTCATTTGCATTAAGTTCCAAGGAATACAGTTAATTCACTCATTTTCTGAATTTTATTTTATTTTACTTATTATTATCATTATTATTTGAGATGGAGTCTCGCTCTTTTGCCCATGCTGAATGATCTCAGCGGCATGATCTCAGCTCACTGCCATCTCCATCTCCCAGTTCAAGCGAGTTCCGGCTAATTTTCGTAATTTTAGTAGATACCTGGTTTCACTGTGTTGGCCAGGCTGGTCTTGAACTCCTGACCTCAAGTGATCCACCCGCCTCAGCCTCCCAAACTGCTAGAATTACAAGCATGAGCCACCACGCCCAGCCTGGTTTCTGAATTTTATGTAACAGAATATGGCAACAATTATTAATTGTTTTCACTGGAGAAAATGTAGTACTAATAAATCGTATCATTGACATTTAAAAATGTTTTGGCATTTTACCTTCCATAACATGTAATTATATTTTTGATATCAACAACTAGTTACCAAATCTAAACCACCCTATAGTGGACAATTTGCTGCATCTAAATCTACAAATATATTGTTTCATTCATCATTCTGCATTACATTTTTAAAAGGCCAATGTAATTGTTTTTACTCTCTTTTAGAACATTTTAAAATCTATTTTAAATAATTTTAATAAATTTAATTTGTCGTTTCTAATTATTGTAGCATGTTTTCTCTACAAAATAGTAACTTATTTAGCACGTATAAAATATTAGCATATTATTGGAGCATATTTTATTTACAAAATAGTAACTTAAATGTTAAGGTATATCTCTTTAAATACCTCAGAAAATGAAGCTTATTATTTTTTATCTTCCAGAAAATTGCCTTTAAAGGAAGAAAATGGGAAAGAAGCTCTAAATCCAGAAACTATAGAAATTAAAGTTTCTAATGACATCATTCAATCAAAAGAAGACGACAGCAAAGCATAACAACACTATTACAGGGGCTTGAACAACACTACGAAGAGTATTTGGATTGCAGTGACCCTATGACCAAAACTATTCCATTGACCTTAATTTCTTGGGAAACTTCTAGCTTGGAATAGCTTGTACACATATACATATGATCAAATACTCCTGCCCATGGCCCATTTCCTTTTGTTATTGTTGTTGCTGTTGCTGTTGTTGTTAATTTTAAGAATTTCAATATCAAGACCTGACTGGCACCAACACTTTGGGTATTCAATTTGATTATATGACTGAAGTACTGGAATTCATTATATGGCTCAAGTACTCTATTTATTAAGAACTATATTTAATACCACCAACAAATATAGGGGTTAAGGAAAAAGACATGAGCTATATGTGTAAGAAGGCTCTGCATGTGTATGAGTCCTATTCTGGGCAAATAGATTCTTAAGGTGGCTTTCAACTTCAAGATGAAGGCACTTAATAACGGTTACTCATTTTATCAGGGGAATTTCAGGGAACATAGGCTTCAAAGAGCCAGTTTATCTTTAGCAGATATTAAAAATTGAAAACTTCGAAGAACTCATTTCAAGCTATGATTCGGTGCATTTTCAACATTGATTTTTGATAGACTGAAGTGCCAGATCAAAATTGTTACCCATTTGAAAGAATATTAGTTGTATATAAAATTAGATTAGAAAGACTTTCTAAATCTCTATCTCTTTATATATGTCCTATTCATTCACAATGGATTATACACAAAAAATGTATTGCAAGTGAAATAATATTGATTTCTGCCCTCAGCTTCAAATAAAGTAAATTGAAATGGGAACAATATCAATATGGTGTCTTGATATATTTATAAATATGTGATTATCATTTATTTTTAAACAACTTATCAAAAAAAGTCTTTAGTGTTCAAATACTTCAAATCATATCCTCAGATATATTTTTAGCCCATAGTTTTATATAATCTTTGAGAACTAATTTTACCACTGTTACAGGTTCACCATTAAATGTAATTGGCTACTGGAAATTAAAATTTTAAGGTTGACTAAATTAAGAAGAAATTATTTAACATTTTAATGTGCCACAAAAGTGTAAATGATAAACAATTACACTTCCACTATGTGTTCTATTCTGGATGTTCTAGCTAGAAGTCATTTTAAGATTTTGATAAACAATTTTGGTTGAAGAAATTCCTTAAATATTCAACACAAACCTTCTGATATCTTTTGTTAGGGTTATACCAGAATAAAATGCTTCTTTACTTCCAAGCTATGCGAGCTCCCAGAGGTAAGAGAGTGACACGTGATTTAACTTATATGTAAGGTTTAAAAAAGTATTTATGATTATAAACATACATACCATTTGGGAGCAGGTTTACTAACCTTGAGAGCCAAAGGTTTCCTTAGGCCCTGTAACATTCAGAACCTTTGGTGTTTCAGCTGAAATAGTGACGGGATAGGGAATGTGTTCCAAAAGAATATCGGAGCAATTTTTAGCATTGCAGAAACCTGCTTTGGGCATGTGTCTCTGTAGAGATAACCTGATGATTATTAAATGTAAAATTAAGGCAACTCATGAATATTTTTATTTACGAAGTGCTTGAAACTGTCAGCCAAGGAGAGACGACTAAGTAATTTTATATAATTCCTCACTTTTCTGGCTACAGCAAGACAGAATATGACCATCTTCATTTGAAGGCACCAAATCGTCACAGTGTCTTTGCCATAAATTGCAGGGTTAAATGCAGGAATCTCTCCTTGCATTCCTGTCTGGCATATTCTGAAGAAAAGAACAGAATTCTTGTGCCTACCTAAGAATTTGAGAAGCGTCTAAAACAAACCAGTTAGGTCATTTTAACTGACTTGATTATCCAACTGGTCTTTGACAGATGTGACTGTTGTTATTTAGTTTATGTTTGTCTGATCATCCAGTTTGCTTTATTTTGCTGTGTTTTATTTTGTCGTTTGTTTTGTTTTGTACCAACGTACTAAAACTAGTCAAAATACTTGAATTAGTTTGTTTGTGCAAAGTGTACAAGCTTAGTAAAGTGTCCATGAAGCAATAGCCATGAATGATAATTATTTCTAAATAGGGCCACGTGGTTTTAAACTAATGATGGTGAAAGAATTAGGATGACTGAGAAAGTCATTTCGCATGTTTACTATTGTTATATTTGTGCTTTACTTCAAGAGTGCAGAAATCATAATAAATAACAAACTATTTTTGTGTTTTCTCAATTTGACATTTCTGTTTCTCTCATTTATTTGGATTTTCCTTGTAAAGAAATTGACATATATTTCATATACATATATATATATAGTCTATATATATATATGATGTTAAATTTCCTGCCACTCATGTGGAGTAATGATCTGAAATTAATAGATAATCTGAAGCTAATTATAGTCAGACTATTTCAAGTGCACTGTTTCAGTTGCCCGAGTGGTCCTTACCTCTTGTCCTTGAAATCCATGCCATGCTGAAGCACGGCAATACTGTGATAAAGTATTTTTTTTAATATTTCAATGGAATGCTCCAAATGATTTATAAGAATTTCAAAATAAAAGATGGCTTGTAGTAAATTGTAAAATATGAGTAGAACTGAAATAACCTGTTTCATTCTTATTCTAGATTAAACATATACATATAACCGTATAAATGTTATTTTTATTGTCTGAGAGTACTCTTAAATATTAGTATAAAGTGTCAAAAGAATTGACTGAATATAAGTACTGTTAAAATAATTTGAACCCTGTGATATTTTAAACCAAGAGGCAAAGATATCACCGAAAACTTGATATTTCTTGATAGGTTAGGTGCAATTAGGCAGTGACAATCTATATTCAACAACATATAAGAGGAAAGAGTAATATCAGAATTTTAACACATATTTTGTTTTCAAAACTGGCACAAATTCATGTGTCAACATATTTTACAATAATTGTCAAAGGAATTTAATTAAGAATTGTATTTTTAAAGATTTATTTATTATTTTTTGTGGGGTAAGACATTGCCATTCTATTGATACTAACATCTAACATTAATGTATTGTTTCTTGTTTTCTTTTATTTTTAATATTAATAACTATAAAAGCATTTTTCAAAGGCTATTAGATCCAGCACACTTCATGTGGATCTTAGTCTTTGAATTAAATATTTATATAAATAGATTTTATTAATCAAATTATTTATTCGTGTGCCAACAATTAATTGTAACTTTATGATCATACCTATGTTTACGCTTCTTATTTTAAATAATTAAGATGTATCTGTGCCTTTTAATTAGCATGACATTCTGCTTTATTAAAAGAAAAAACTACAATTAACGTCATTACTAGTATATTTTGCTTAGATTTGAGATACTCGAATGATGCTGTCTTATTTACAGTCAGTAAATAAGTTCAATTCAAACTATTTACCTTGAATATAAAATCTAGATATAATAAACTATACTGTATAAGTTACTTTAATTCATGTCAAAATAGTTCTTTTTATACACACACGAAATATTCTTAATTTGTTCTGTATTGTTTTTCTAAACAATAAATACATTCTAGATATTATTGAAATTAAATTTTGCCAGTTGTAAGACAAAGACAACAGATAACTTTTGAAAATCAAGCAAATTACTATGGTGTTTCTTGGGTCTTCATTATTTCCATTTATATATATTTTATTTAGAATAATAAATCAACCTTTATTTTTTGGCAATAAGATTATCACAGATGAAAATATGTACAGCTCAAGTGGTAGAAATAATATTTTCCATTAGTTAATTTAGGAAATATTGGAATAGCATATTAGAATTATTTATGAGGTTCACAGTGTTCTTTTTCAGAGAAAATAAGGTAAACATTTGACTTAAATCCCCCATGAAGTTTTTTTTACACTCATATTCATAATCATAATCATATAATGTTCTTATTCAACAAGCTTTGTATCTGGAAATATTTTTAACAATAAGTTTGCTAGCATTATTGATTTATCTTTAGAGAGAAAATATTTGCATCTGTTTATTAACCCTTTGAAGCATTAATACTTAGTCACTCACACTGAAATTGTATATGGATGTATCAACATAAGCTAAAATTAAATTATGGATGTCGCAGAAATGAAAAACTTCATCTTAAAAGGTAAAATTTTCAAGAAAGTATTTTATTCATGGACTTAATAATGTCTTAAGATGAAACAATTATAAGTTCAAATGAGAAATTTATAAAAAGACCCACATATAGTAATCGCTGAACAAACATAATTTTCTTCCAGCTCCCATCCTTCCTTTTTGAAAAATTGAATTTACCCATGTAGATGCAGCTATTTAAAATTATACAAGAATGTTAATAGATGAATTATTTCCTCTCATATAAAGGCAAAGAATTTTATATATAATGCTAAATATTTATTTGATAACACACATAATATTCTTAGAAAAATAGTTTATTACTCACTTTAAGATTTTACCTATAACATAAATATATTATCTGATATTACCTCTTTAAATTTTCATTTTACACAATTTTTGAGATTCTGACTACACACAACATTCAGAATTATTGCTCATGTAAATTTAAATATTGCTACTTAGTTTTTTCTTTTCTGAAATGAAAACATGTATCTTTTGGCATCTGTTTTCAGCCTCCCATGGAAGACAGTAAGCAAAACCATTACTGTTGGAGAATTTCAGATCACAACCCGACATAGGAGATTAGAGAAACAAAGAAATGAGTGGATCTAGAAAGGCAAACTGAGTTGCTATATTTGGAATAGCTAGAAAGGACCTGACTTTGAGAAGTGCTAGACCAGGGACTAGGACCATTGCTTAGATAAAAATTATGGCCCATTAAACTGATGCAAAGGAGAAAACAGTGTAACACAGAGGACAAAGTTAACAGAGATAGAATCTATGATGTGATTTTGCAAATAGTTTTTTTAGAGAACAACATGCATACTATAAAATAAACAATACTATTAAGAACAAACCTATTTGTTCCAACTCTTAAAGAAATATTCATGGTTTAGCATTTGCCTCTAAACCCTGTTAGAAATATGTGAAGTTAGAAATAAAGGTTTTTTTTTTTTAAAAAAAAAAAAAACAAACATTTTTGGTATGTGAACTGTATGCTGTGCTCAGTATGTACTGAAACATACTATCTTTTATTTTCTTTAATTTATATATTCCATTCAAATTCTATATGCTTAAGTTAGCTATCACAACGTTTTCTTATTGTTTCAATATGGTATGTCCCAATGAAATGCTGTATATATATGTCTAAACTGTAAAAATTATACTGCAAATGTTGAAGTTTTGTATTTATGAGAGACATTGAAAGTATGGCTTACAGTATATCAAACTTGTCACACTTCACCATTTGTATATTAATAGTAAAGATACTTTTACTTTAATAAAGTGTTGCATTTTATGTTTATTTTGAATAACATTTCTGCAGTGAGCAAGCTTATGGTTTTTCAGAGACTTCTGTGTTAAGAAACTTCCAAACATATATCTAGATATTCTAAAGAAGAGAATGCTTTCTGCTATCTTATCTCTCAATGGGTTACAATCTTTTGGCTTCTACACTGAGCAGAGCTCAGAGAATTAAATGAATAAACAGTTGGTTTAGAGCAGTGGTTCTCAAAATGTGACCCCCTAGAGCAGCATTACCTGGGAACTTGTTTAAAATGTAAATTTCTAGACCTCACCAGAGACTCAATAAATCAGAAAGTTCTAGGAGAGGGCCATGGTAATTTGTGTTTCAATAAGAATTTCTGATGATTCTGATGCATTGCAAAATTTGAGATCCAATGGATTGGAGACACTTTTATTTTTTCATTTACCAAATTGTGTTGATCAATTTAAAAATGCTAGGCAACCAACTAAATATAGCCAGTTATGCTTTAACACAATGTGTGCATTCCCCAACAGCATCATATTCTGCAAAATAATGCACTTAATAATCAAAACACTTGAAGGAAATGTAAGTTTGGAACAAACCAGTAAAAATGTAAGCAATTGTGAAACCATAGCATCGACACAAGTAACAGCAAACAACCATTCTGTAAAAGACAGTATAAACGTTACTGAAACATATTGAGTGATAGTCCAGTATTAACTTCTGTTTCAAAGCTAATCATTTCACACATGATTTTACAAGTTGTTTTCATTGTTTTAAACTAGTACAAATGTGACTCATTCTTAAAAAATAAGATTCTGAGTGCCAACTTTTCACAATGGGGCAATTTTCAATATAAGCTTAATACCTCAAAAATACATACACATATAGAATAAAAATAACATCAAACACATTGAGAAGTGAAGAAAAATATATATATTGTGCTTCATATTTCAGTATTCTATGTTTATTATAAAGACAATTAAAATAAAATACAAACTATGTCACATGAAAGAGGCCAAAATTAACTCTGATGTATTTTGGAAATTGGGCAGGTAACCCTGGTAGTATTTTAGATAATTTCTTCTAGTTTTTTTCTAACCCAAAGCATTACCTAAGTACAAATTCTCTTTATTATACAATAAATAATGAACATATTTATCCTAAATACTTATACAAGAAATAATGAACATATGGCCTCAGCATTTGAAATTTGTTTTCTAACATGAGTTTTTAATACATAAATGAAAATATTCTCAAAATATAAATATTACTTTATATTTTATATGAGGTGTCATATATGTACTTATCTTTGGCATAAACTTGTTCTTTAATAGAATGCATACATTTGTGTATTTTAACTTTTCTGGACAACTTAATATCTTCCATAGATAGCCTTTTGCATTTTATTTTTTGGTAGAGTGGCCACTATAATAATATAAAATTTATTACATTTTAATTTCATTTTAATTTAGGTTTGTATTAATGTATGGTCTGTAAAGTCAGGTATTTCTAGTATTTAGATGTCTTCATATTTGGAAAACAAGATTAACTTGATTATTTTAGTTCACATCAACCTTTCCAATTTCACCTCCAATTTCCACACTTCCTAATTCTCTCATCTTTCTTTCATCTGTGTCAATCATGACCAATGTCAGAAACTGACCTGAGAAGTTTGAGATGTATAAAGAAAAGGATACTTACCCAAATCAGTCCAAAACACTTGTGTACTATCACATCTGGAGATGAAGCAATTATCAATTATCTTAGAAGAGTCATTTTTGAAAATAGAGTTTTTGAAGGAAGTTGTGATTTTCTTTGTATTTGGAAGCATTGGCTGAAGAGAAGGAAATGGGCATCTCATTTGTAAGCACGGACACAGACTGGACCCACAGAGAGGACACAGCACACACCCAGGGTTATTCCATGCTGTTTGAGGAGCTTTAGCACTAGGTTTGACTATGTGAAGGCCCCCTACTAATTATAAGGGAAGCACTCTCTGAAAAGCATAAATAAAATTTTCACCAATTCAGAAACCAAGAGATCCACACATTTACTCACCAGAAAAAAAGATGGGAAAATAATTTCCTACGTCTTTGCAACCAGGATGCAAAACTGGGATCCTTGGAGTAATATGGAAAAACAGATGAGAACCCAGATATTGGAATTAAAATAAACCTAGGTTCACATCCCAATTGTATCACCTATTACTAGCTCTGAATGTAATACATTTAGATACAAATTTACACCTTTATTTCCTCAC